TACTATTACACTCAATGGCACTATTCGCGTATATAATTGCAACAAATAACTTTAAGACTGCATTTGAAGTTTTGTTTTTTTTTTTTTGGTCAAATTATACCCAATAAAGATGTGAAGATAGTGGATTTTTTTTTTTATCTTTTAATTTATGGCAAAACTATAATTTCCTAATATGTACACTTTGTAGCCAACATTGAATTAATCCACTGTTCAGTCTTATGGGTCAAGGCCATCAAAGCAAAAAATATATATATTTAAGAAACTGCTGTAGTTTATAGTGAATGTTAATTATTTTATTGTATTTTGCATTGTGTTGTTTGGTGAGTGATTTCTTTCAGATTCCCTCAACTCTTTGAACAGTTACATGACAATATTTATACTTCAATAATTTGTACTTGAAACAGCACGATGGTGCAGTTGGCAGATCTGTTGCCTCTCAGCGAGAAGGTCGCCGGTCCAAATGCAGGACCGAGACCTTTCTGTGTGGAGTTTCCATGTTCTCTCCGTGCATGTGTGGGTTTTCTCCTGGTACTCCAGTTTCCTCTCACAGACCAAAAACATGCATGTTAGACTGATTGGTAACTCTAGATTGTCCCTAGGTGTGAGTGAGAGAGTGAATGGTTGTTTGTCTTATTTGTCTCTGTGTCCCTGTAATGGACTTGGAGACCTGTCCAAGGTGTACCCCGCCTCTCGCACAGTGATGGCTGAATATGGACACCAGTGACCCCTGTGACCCAAAAAGGAAGAAACGGGTAAAAGATAAAGGATGGATGGATGGATACACACATTGTACTTGCAGTCCTTGAACTAATGCATGTCACCTGGAACCATGCATGACACAGTTTTAAACACAATTCTTATCTTATCTGTTAAAGCTTAAATGTCTTGAGAATGACTGAAGTTTTACCACAGTAAACCTTAACCACCTTATTATGAAAATTGAGTGTTTTAGACATTTTTTTTTTTTACTTCTCCTAATGTTGATTTGCTGTGGCAGCCATCTTGAATAAGGTTGACTTGAGAAGGTAAATCAGTTTTAGATGCACGTTCATTGATTTTTTTTCTGATTGTTTTCTTAGAAACAGTTTCATGAGATATTTTGCTTACAGACAAATACACATGCACAGGCAATTACATTATCGCCCGCCTTTCACGTTGGCAGGCAATAATTATTCCAAGTGCATGATAAAAAAATAAAAGTTTTATTTAGCTCTGCCCTAGTTTCTGTGACAGTTTGCAGTGAGGGTTAATGAGGCATGTTGTGAAGTACAATAAGCTGTATGATAAATAAATGTGCTACAGACCCTGCCCTCCATGTTTGTTCTACTTTTAAACAAACAAAAAAACCAGTGTGACAAAATCATGCAGACCACAGCACAGCCGGTGACATGTCATACCATTGCAGAACAAAAGCGTTAATTGCAGTGACTTATTCTGTACGACATCATGCGTTTCTGGTTCCTGGGCATTGTTGCACCAAGTGTCAAGGTGCATTCTGTTACAGACCTTTTAGCCTGTACTATAGACTGAACCATGCGTGCACAGAAGGAAAAAAAAAAAAAACAACACACATTTTACGGATGAAAAGAAGTCAAAAGCGTTAAGCAAATTGTTTTTGGGACAATGAACAATGAATATTCATAGAATCACAGTCTGTGTAAGAGTAGGCCCTAAAGTGCTGTCTTCACGAGGGCAGTCTGTCCCACTTCGCTCTAAAACAGCGCTTCACTGTGGGCACCCATAAATATTCATCAGATTTGATGTCTTCTTTCCCCCTTCCACCTTGACATTAATGTTATCACTAAGGATGGCACGATATGTATATGCCTCATGCTCTGTCTTGCTTTGCTTTGCCTGTCTCCTTGCCTGTGTCTTCATCTTTTAATGCAGTGAGGTGGCAACTCAGCAAATCGTATCTTTATCTCAATTTCAAAACTCATGCAAGACATAACAGCACTGGGACACTATTTTTAAATCGGCAGCACTGAAAGTATCATTTTGTTCAGTCACAATAAGATTGTCCATTATTCTTCAACATCAAATGTGAATACCTGCTCAAACATTTATTTTTGTTTATTTGGAGTTGTATTTTCACCACATGTAGGAAGGATTTTTCCCCTCATTTTTTTTGGCATGAGGA